TTAACCAATGTGTCCAGGAACTAGAATCAATCAATTTGAAGGATTTGCTTATTGAGCCACTCTCACTCCGCTTTCCTGTTCTCCTCCTTGTGTCCTTTACTAATTTGTTTCCCCTTCCCCCAACTCAGGTGTGTCTCATTGATCTCCTGACTTTTAAAGGGATGTACTGTGCTTTTTCCTTTAGCCCCCTTTCTGCTATAATTGTCTTATTTTAGACTATGAATTAAAACGACCAAGAAATGACTATAAGGAATAACTCAGTTGAACCAGTACAATGACAAAGGGGGATGGCAATGGCTCAGGAGATGGTCATCGTCCAGGCAAAAGGTCAGTGGTACAATACCCAGTCCTTGCAGTCAATATGTCAATGTGTCATTTAACCCCAAGTTGCCAATGGTGTGTGAATGTATGTGAATGTTAGTCTCCCTGAGCGGGTGGAACCTTTTATGGAAGCCAATTTATGAATGTGTGTCAATTCTGAATTGTTAAACCACTTTGAGGGGTTGTAAAGAATGGAAAAATATATATAAATGCAGTCCATTTTATATTTTTTTTTACATAGAGGATAAGAAAAGATTCAAAGTAAATAATGATGTGTTGCTCTTCCCACAGATTGTCAGCAGGGGGCAGCAGAGGCCTAGCGTCTGCCAGCAGCACAGCAGATTTGACATCCTGAATATCATTTATCTTCAGCCAGCCTTGACCCCAGGAGAAACACCCAGAATAATTTGCGTATATCACAGTCTGCAGGGAGAAAAGGTGAGAGTGGGTCACACCTGGGGCCTCATTTATAAAGGGATATACGCTCAAAAAATGGCGTACGCCAGTTTCTACGCAATGTTTGCGATTTATAAAATACTAACTTGACGGGAAAATGTGCCGTCCTCCACGCAAACTCTAACCCATTAGTACGCACTAAGCACACAAACGGGAGAGACGAGAAACTGCAACACCGTTGGCAGAAGGAAGAATGGAGAGAAATATGTGGAAATAATACCATAAATAAAACGTTACCATTTATCATATGAAGAATTCATTTTCAAACATTGATTAAAGCCAATCTTAAAATGATTTAACAAACGCCTGTTTGAGACTCCTCAGTGCACACAAAAACGTAACTTGGAGAAATAAATAAATACAGATGTTATTTAAAACCACCTCGAATATGTTGTGTTAATGTTATGAAATGTTTTCTCATAAATTATGCGGTAAGCAGGAGGACAGAATTACGTCTAAACTGACGCCGTTTTGCTTTTCTATAGCGAGCATGGTTTATAGCTACTATCATGTTTAATGATATTTATGTTTATGCCGTTTGCCAAGACTTGATAAGTCGCTCGTAAAACACAGGAGGTATGGAAGCTAAGAACTCCATATGTGGTAAATTGTACAGCGAATATAACACAACACATTAGTTGTATTTCCTTTAACTGGTGGATATAGAGTTGCTGCAGGGAGGAGGGGGGGGGGGGGGCGGGGGGGTGGGGGGTTGAGATGCAGCTGCGCACAGCTGATCGACAGCTGGGACACAAACCACCAAATACAAAAACATAATTCAGATCCAGTCGTCATGACTCCACTCCGGAGGGATCATTTCTTACAGTTTCTCATCAAGGGGGTGTCTCCTGTCCCCGGTACAAACACACTGCCTGAGGAAGGCTGTGTGTATTTTTCTTGGCATTAACCTTTTTCGGACCACTTATTTATTTATTTTGGTGACGATCCGACCTCCATGCTGCTACTCTGGTTCAAACTGCATCCACCAAACAATATGATTTATCTCCACCTCCCCAAAATAACCCAAATCTGACACGGTGTGAGATGTCTTTTTTTAGCTGTTCTGTCGTCATTTCCTGCGATCTTCTACATACAGTCAGTCAGAATGAATGAATGGGCGTTTCTTTGACTATTTATAGGCAAATATGGGCGTTACGTGAAGCCCGCAAAAGCTGCACCGCATTTCGAGTTGATTGTGATTTATAAAGGGAAACCGGCGTAGGAAGTGCTGTACGCACTTTCCTCGCCGATACGCAATGTTTGGTGAATCGGAAAATGTCGGAACATTTCTGTACCTATTTTTTGGATATCTACTACGTAAGCAACCTTCCCACGTGAATCCTACGCACGGCGTTATAAATGAGGCCCCTGGAGAGGAGGGCCTTGTCCAGAGGAAACTCATTTCACCAAACTGTGATTGAGGGAACAGTAACAGTAAGACATGTTTGGTGTATTTTTACTATCGAGCTGATTTGGAAATTATGGAAAGTTTTCTCAAATGTGTATCTCATTTTGTACACATGGTCAAATCAAAGAACCTTTACTAAGATGTGACCCTCCAGCTGGCTCCTGTCTCAGCTTTTTGCTTTTGAGTAACTATCATATTTTTAAGACTTGGAATTCCAGGCTTTGGCTCCAAAATGAAAAATCCATCATTGGAAAATCACCTCTTCCCTAACTGAGAGGGAAACTCTGTCAATCATTTGCTGTTGGTTAGCTACATCTTTTGATTCCATTTTACAAAAAAGTGGGAGAACTGAGATATTATGAACTTCTTACAAATTGAACCAGAATAACTCGCGGTACTGAAAGCTGCTTTCAAGGATATTGTCCAAAGCTGAGCAGTAGTTTGCAGAACCAAATCTCTGAAAAACCATACCACCAACATCTGCTCACAGCTCCAGCCTAATAAAAAGTAAAGAATGCTGCTAGTCTGTGTGCTTTACTGCTTATGGGGCTACTTCACTTTTTCCATATGCTGCAGCAGCTGCTTGGACGGCCTGGCAGCGTGAGACCCTCACAGTTCAGGTCACATTTTTCTCACGTCCAAATGCATAAATGCTCGTGTCCGGCTATGCTTCACTCCACACACTGTGCAGAGCGGCTCGTACAATGAGGTGCCGCCACCCAGGCCTTTTTACTCTCTGGTGCAGAATCAGTTTGAGACTGCAGCCTGGGATCCATCTGCCTCACATTTGCCACGTATTTCCAGAGCAGGAGACTGGCTCACCGGTGCATTTCTCATGGCGATGTGAAATAGTGTGAGAAAGCTGCGACTCTCTATGTGTGTGTTCTTGTGTGTGTGTGTGTGTGTGTGCACAGGCAGCACAATGTCACCTTGACTACAATCTACAGGAGGGAATGAGGGCGCACCACATCTGTACAGCAGTGGACAGAGGAGAAGAGAGGGAGTAGAAGGTATTTGCGTGTGTCTCGGAGCGTGTGTGAGAATATGCCAAATGTGTGAGTGTGTGTGCGTGTGTGTGTAAAGGGAGAGAGAGAAAGACTGAGGCGGGTGTAGCTCTCTCAGACAGCTCACAGTGCTGGAGGATCCCTCTTCACATGCAGGCAGAGCGACGCAGAGATGTCAGACGCAGCACACACAGGTGGGTCACACAGCAGATGAGGGGACAGGTGAGACAGGCCGGGGGCTCACGCGTTATGCTTCCTCTTTTATAGGGCTGTTTTCAGTGTCAGAACTGCATTATAACCATGCATAAACATGTCATTTTATTTTGGCATCCCGGCAGGGATCACATCGTCTAAGGTGCGATATTGTCTAATTAGAGATGTATTGGATCACAATGAGAAAAATAATTACAGATATAAATAAATCAAATTGGTTTATATTTTTGTTTAAATGCTACACTTTAATAACAACTAACTCTTTCAACTGTCACAAATTTAATTTAGATTTCTCGTATGTAAATTGAAGCCAGAGCCTCCTGCAGAGCTCCAGGTGAGTTGGAGACTCGTGGCCCTCTGACATCAGCTACAGACCTTCAAACTGCCGCGCAGGGACCTTCAGGCTCCGGCTTGGACATAATTGCATTTGCCGGGATTGTAACGGAGCAAAAAGCCGCCGACTGAGCCGCATCCTCTCCACTCCGTCATGTGACACCGTCGGGAGAATATATGTGTGTCCTTTCCGTTTTGCCGGAGAAATGCAGCCTTGGCCAATCGTGTCTCGACTGAGGCGTCTCTCTCTCCCTCTCTCTTTCTCTCTTTCTCTCTCACGATGCCTTAATGGAACATCGGAATTAACTGGTTGGTTCTGCCTGTGAGCTAGGGATTTTATGTTTTGAACCATAGGTGTAATTTACAATGGAGAAGCTGTGGCCATAACCCCACCATTTGTTTAAATGGCTTATTTTTCTCCCAACATTTTAGATATAAGAAGAATAATTTGTTAAAAGTATTTTGCTAACAAAGCAACAAAATGTTAACTAAATAAGGAAAAAGCTTTGAGAAAGATTTGTCATAATAAATGAGATTATAGAAGAAACTAATAAGCATTGTCTAAGAAGAATTTAGGCTCCAAAAAAAAACTTAGCCTACTATTTTTTTTATTACCCAAAAAGTGCCCAATAAGTAAGACCATGTAAGTGTTCTGTCTTCACTGTTAATGTTGGATTACTTTTCATTCATTCAACTGCAACGCTCTTTTGAGTATGCATTATTGCCAGACCCGCCATATTTACCTATATCTCCTACCAGTACACCTTTTACATTTCCTAAAATCACATTTTGAAGACCTTTTATATATATTTTTTTGTTTTTGTTTATGTCTTCACCACGCTTCAATTTAACTGACACCTTTGTTTTGAAGATAACATGTTTATTTGATAGACACTTCAACGTCTCTAACCGCACACCAATGTATCTTTTGTGTAAATCATTTGCATGAAAACCTGCAGAATCGTAAGCCCCTAAATGATTAAAGATCACTGAAGTGATGTAGCCTAGGTTAATTAAATCCAATGTTGTTTTTTAAACTGCATAAAAGCTTGATCTGGTAGGCTAAACCAAAAGAAAAATAATAGAAAACACATACTTCTAGCCTTTCATAGCCTAAGTAATATCCTCAGATGGTTTTTCTGCGGTGAAAAAGCAACACAACACAAAGACAATTCGCTCTTTTACTTAAACGTGTGGGAAACCAGATTTTACGGGATGCATTTGAATGCGTCTCAAGGCCCTGTGACGTCAGCCGCTCCCCTGCGCTCCCTCGCGCAGCCAGTCAGAGAAGGGATGCTCTGAACGCAAGACTGCAGCATCTTCACCGAGAGAAGGAGCAGAAAAAAACCTCGTCTCTTTCTCTGTGTTCCTCCAACTCCGCGTCTCCGGACCCTCTCACCCACCGTCACCGTCCGTCACCCCGGGGTGTCTGCATGATCGGAGCCAGGACAGGATAAGAAGAAAGAAATTATCTGATAGCCTACAATAACCCACCGGATTTTTTGTATTGCTTCACCGACCTTTTCTCTTCTTTCTCCGGTTGATTTCGCCTCTTTGTCTTTCGGTATTGTTTTTTGTTATTTATTGTTGCGGAGGAGCGCCACCATCCTGCACTGCCTGATATGAGTACGCTCTTTTATGTATTTGCAGCGGAATGACACACATATCCTAGCCCGCATATCAGAAGCTTGATGGAAGATTGATGCTCCATTTGCACGTTTTCAGTAGCCTAGATCATCATCCATCTGCAGAGGTTCCGGATTTGCTCCCCCCTCTGACTCGATCATCCGCCGTTCCGTTTCTTTCTCTGTCCCTGCGCAGCATCTCGGTACGCACGGCGCACCACGGAGAAACGCGCAGCTAACCTTCCCCCGTCCATAAGAAACAGGCGTATTTTTCCAATTCCCAGATCGCTTTCGCCTTCTCCAAGGACTCATCTGCACGGCTACGCTGCGTAACAAAACGGGGAAAAGGGGGATTTAAACGCAAACGCAGCCCAAGCATCCAAGAGCAAGCTCGAAAATGATGGCCGGCGGAGCAGTACAGCAAAACGGGATTTTTTCAAATCCTCACCATCACAATCAACAACCACACATGGAGTCCGACCCTCCAGACTCACGTAAAAGACCCCTGGAGACTCCCACGGAGGCCAGCAGCACCAAACGCACAAACACAGGAGGTAAGGGCACCGATCGGGATGCGGGGAGCTGTTCGGGTTTGAATGTTCGTCCTGAGGCAGTGAAAGGAGAGCAGGTTGATCTGATTCTAGACACACACAGTGGCATGCTACAGTTCACATTCATAGATGTGTGTTGCAATTACGCAGGGATATATATATATAAAATGCTAAACAAAGAAGGATCCGCTTTTTAATCAGGGTTATAATAACATTGGGCCGCCGCTTTCGGTGGAACAATACGAGTGGCTGAGGGGGGATTTGGAGGGAAGCCGCTCACGTTCTGCCTGTTTTAGCCTCCTTAGATCAGCCGAATTGGGTGTTTTTTTTATTGCGTCTTAAAATGTACGCGCAGCCACAGCGGCCATGCTGGAGCCAGAATGAGGATGTAAACAAGTGAAAGCCAGATCGGGCTGGTGCGTGATGGCAGGCTCTCATCCCGCCGACGGATGACCTTGTGATAATCTCACACATCATCCCCCATCGCCGCTTTGTGTACAATTACACAAGCGGATAAACAAGCGGACTCACATTAACAGCAGGCCCGTGGCGAGCCAGAGAGAGCAGAATGCGACAGTCTGTGTGTTACTGCAGCATGTCAGTGTGTGTGTGTGTGTGTATTCTGATCATGCTCTGCTGTCCTGATTCTAATAACCTGCAGCTGGAAGGGAGATTTCCCCCCCCCCCTCTCTCTTTCTGTAAATGTTCCAATCATGTTTCTTCATTATTCTCTGGTTGGATGAATTATGGATATGTCACCATGGTAATCACCATATTTGGTTTTTGTTTACATGCTGTCATGCGCCAAACATTCTCATCACCCGGCATTACAACCATCAGTACTCTATCCTGGCCATGCACCCATTAATGGACATTCAAACACACTACACCTTTAAATGTGTTAACAACCAAATGTTCCAATAATAATGTAGGTGGCCTAACTGTAACTTTAGACCGTTAATAAGAGCATAATATGGACGCCTGTTCCTTTAAGAGTCACAGACACACATATGTCATTTACATGACTGAGACAAATATTGACCTGCATAAAATAGGACTTGAATTATTAATTGTTAATTTGATCTATTTAGACTCTACAGTATTTCATGTTAATATATACATAATTTAGCCTGAAATATGTTTCCTTGGCACAGCAGTCCCTACAAAGTATTAATTAAAACTCAACCTAAACATGTATGATTGTAAGGAAATTGATTTAATGTTAGTGTATACTTCAAGACAAATTATGTGTGTCAAAAAAATAAATAATCCGAGATGAATTAAGGAAATATGCAAAGAGTTTTTTACTGCAGGTTTTTTCAGAGAAGAACCTCCATGATTCTTAACATGACTGGATGGCATCTGATTTCCCCCCCCCCCAATTATTTAAAGGACTGGCCAAGAGATTTCCCGCAGAAAGCAATCCACTATGGGGGATTTACCTTAATGCAAGCAGCTGTGATATATACTGTAATGTATTCACTACAAACCCATTGAGTTGAGTCGCTTGTCCTCAAAATAAAGGATGGCATGATTAGAAAAAATAACTAGAGAATTAATAAAACAACAGAATACAAAAGAAGACATTGGAATGTGTTTGTACACTTATCTTAAGTTCTTTTTAAGTTAGTTTCATGGCAGTGAAAACATTCAGAGTAACTAAATATATTTGAGATAACTTGTTAAACACTTTAATTTGGTTGCCAACAATTGGAACATGTACAGTAGCTATTTCGGGTTTACAGTGCACAGGGTCCGGACACTAATACATTTATTTAGATTATTGTGTGACCTGCTCCTTTTCAGTAAAACAGAAAACAAGGGGAGGGTCATTTTTCACAGCTTCAGAAACATGACAGCTGGTAATAATTAAACAGAGAGAGTGTTCGGCAGAAGAGGGGTTCGCCGCAGGTTAGCGATTGTGTTTAACTACAGATCGATGCTCTCGCAGCACTAAAGTCTCCTCCTGCTGTATGCAAAAAGCCCTGGCGGCCCCCAGGGACCCCATCCTCCTGCCTGAACAGACAGCTCGTTGGGATGATGATGATGATGATGATGATGAGCACGGCCGAGCAGGCAGAGAGGAAGGCCAACCCTCCTTCAGCCGGCAGCATCGGGCTCATGATGAGATGGTTGGAAATAAAGTGGCTCCCACACACACTTCACTAGGATGAACAGAGGATCAGAGCTTGGTTGCAGAATTTTGTGAAAAACTCAATTCAGTTCTCTTTTAAAAAAACGTCTCTTTGTGTAAATGACATTATTGTTCTTACAGACTGCCTGTAATCAGATTACACAGATGAGATGAGCCTAAATGATCATTTCATTACTAATACGATGCAGAGAAAGATATATTTTCACTGAGAGTATGTTTTTGTCTTTATATATATATTGACGCTGCTCTGCAGATTTGAAAAGAAAGTGCTGCTAAGAGATCATAACAATGGTTGTTTCTCTGTATGATTAGCTTACACCACGCACCCCCACCCCTGTGCTTCCTCTCTCTGTAGTGGCCTTCCTGCAGCCCCTTTTTGAAACTGAAGGCATTGTATTCCCTCAACAAGAAACTGAGACTCATGGTAAGAGAGACTTCGCTTTTGATCTTCTACCTGTTTTTTAACCTAACCTTCTTCAATGCAGGAGTGGTTCATGTCGTGTTCCTGAAGGTCAAATCCTGCAATCTAAATCTTTAGGGGAATTTTAATGACAAGCTTTAATGCTGCCTAAATAGGATTTAAAGTAACACCCTCATATTCTACTCATGATCAAGGGTAATGCATGCTGACATTGTTTCTATTGCATGTGATCAGTTCCATGACATCCATTTCCATGCTTTTTATACAAATTATTTTGTCATGATACACATGAAACATTGCTGTGCAGATGAATTCTGATGACCTTTGACCTCATGCTAGCCATGTCGCCAAAGCTTTATGATTACTGATGTAATGTAGAAATGTTCTTTCAAGTGTGATATACTGCAGTGCCCGCTGCGCAACCGCTGTCAGTACATGTCACATGACTGTAGGGTTAACCCATTCTCTTCTTCACAGGGAGTTTTAACTGAAGACACGTTTTTATATCTGTGGCTGGTTTGTGTGCAGGGTTTATTCAAATGTGTGTGTTTGAATGAGGGGCTAGAGAAGGAGTTGGTCAGCTGTCAGAGGTAGAGGACGACAGGAGACCGCTGTAACCCCCCCGGGGGTCATAAATCACAGCAATGTCTCATAAAGGCTGAAGGTCTTAAAGATGAAAAGATCAATGAGTAGCTGCAGTAGCTGCATCCCGACCGGCCCTCTAATCCCCCCACCCAAACCCCATTCTTATCTCCATGGCTCCCCTCACCCCGAACCAGCATGCCATCCCCCCAACATTAAAGGAATTCGGATTTCTCTCTAATCATGTACATTTATGATCAGAGGCGTTTAATGAGCTCATTGTTAATATTTGATTTTAGTTTCAGAGGTTTATACTTGGATCATTTTCAAAGCCAGATTGATCGTGATTGGCTGAATTAAATATTTGAGTTGTTTCATAATTCAAGCTGTCGGCCAATCAGGGTTCAGTGTTTCATGGTTACATTTTAGCTAAGAATACATTTATTTGGAGAAAAGACTGACACACAATGTATTATTTTCCTGCAAAGAAGTATATTAGACATTAAAATGGGAATATCCTTAAGCCTTCAGGAGAGTTTAGAGTGTAAGAGTTGAGCTTAGAGTGGTCAAAATGATATAAGAATAATATTATAAGGATAGCTAAGGATACTCAACAGAAGGAGGAAACAAGACAATACAGAAAAATACATTAAAGAAAAAAAGGTACCCGAGTGGTTTCAGTGCCAAGATTTAAAATGCAGTATTCTTGACACACAGGTTGAAAGGTTAAAAACATTTACTTAACCTTTTATTGTTGATCTTTTCTTTCTTCTTTGTATGAAACTGGAGGTCATTATAATATTATTTAGCATTTCTCAGCAACAAAATTATAATAATTCCCTATTTTATCACAAAATGTTACCTTTTGGTGGGAACATTCATGGGTGGCTCACGCTCTCCATTGTCACTACAAACCGGTATTTGTTTAGAGTACTATAACCAATACTGATACTTCGGTCTCTAACAGCAGCCGCAGTCTAATAATAAACTGCTTGTAAGCCATTGATCTTTATAAGCACAAACAGAATAAATCATATGTTTTTACCGATCTTCATGTAGGTGGTCAGAACATGTGATGCCTACAGGTTCAACAATCAGGGGAAAGGTTTGCTGACTCGTACTTACGGTCTCTTCTCTCGATGTAATACATTCATTTAGTAAATGGAAGGAAGAGGGGGTGATGTCCTTGCTAAGTGACATTAGGGGACTAGCGGAAGATTTATACGTGTGTGTGTGTGTGTGTGTGTGTGTGTGGTTTGTCTTTGTGTTCTCGTCTGATTTGAGTTGCAAAAATCAGAGATTAATTCGAGACTTAAAGGGGTGTGTCGATGAATTATTGCTCTGCAGATGGACACGTGCATGCACCAACCCAACATGCTGTGGAGGGGGTATTCACTGTGTCAGACAGGACCTTTGATGCTATTGATCCGAGTGTTTCGCATTGCTCCGGCATTTCGGGACGTCCATACAAAGGAGGGCTGCCTTCCTCGCATTGATCAACTGTCGGGACTAGGGAGGAACAAGCTCCGTATTTGGCTTGTTTGAACACTGGGAAATAGATTCGAGAGGGGTCGGTCATAAATACGACCAACCCTATAACAGTGTGATCTACAACACATGAAATAATCAGATCTGTTGAGATGTTTTTTTTTTATAATGATGCAGAATTTTATGGTTAATCAGTTCGTCGAGCAGTAGTTTTCTGAAACAGTGTGTTTGGGTAGGCGCTGATGCAGAACACGGCGTCCTCCCCTGCGACTCGTCTGTTTTGTTCACTCTCGATTCTGAGCCCTCTCTTCCTCTTCCATTCTCCCCATCTTCCTCTCCTCCTCATCCATACTAATCATGCTCTGGTTCAGACCGTCACGACTGCTCCCTCATCCTCCTCCTCCTCCTCCTCCTCCTCCCTTCCTCCTTCATCCTCATCCTCCCATCATTTCATCCTCCACCCACCCCCTTCATCAATCGCGGGCTGCCATTGACGACGCTCGCTCGGCAACCGTTTCCGAGGCTGTCGATCGATTTGCGGTCGCCGTCGGGCAGAGGTAGCCTCGACTCTCCTTCTCCTCCTACAACCTCTCCTCTTCCGTTTTTTTTTTTTCTTCAAACCACTGCGTCAAATAAAATGAAAAAGCAGCCATTGTGCAGGGTGGGGTGAAGGCGCTGAGAGGTGGGAATGTTCCCACAAAGGAAGCTGTGCGATTGGTGGAGCGAGGCGCCGGTCACAGCTTTCTGGTTGCTGATAGGTTGCGAGAGTGGGGCGGTGATGAATATGGATAAGGGAGCGATGAAAGGGCCAATACAGAAAAGACGACTGGAAGGGCCCCCGACTCTGAAATAGCCTTGGTCCATGAACAATACACACACACACACACACACACACACACACACACACACACACACACACACACACACACACACACACACACACACACACACACACACACACACACACACACACACACACACACACACACACACACACACACACACACACACACACACACACACACACACACTGAGGGGGCGATATAGAGGCGGCTGCTTTAGTTATCTTTGTTAGCATAGCCACCATGTCTGCATCGATTTCTACGCAGATGATAGAATTTGTTTCAGTATGAAGGCATTTCATTGGCTCTGGGTTAACCTCTATTCAGACTAAATAACAGGATGTTGTTCTTCTATGCGATTTCTCATTTATGATAAATAGATGGAGGAATAACCCCGTCCTTGCCATTGTTAGGTGACCCAGTCTGTACATTTGTATTTGTTTCAAGAATTCCAGATTTAGTTTAGGGAGCCGTTCATTATTTTTCTTTATAAAGATTTGTGGACATAAAAACAACTGAGAAGGGGGTTGCTGGCATGAAAACAAAACACAGTTTTCTATGCTGCTGTACACGTATTCGTGATTAGGTGAAACTGGATATGTGGCATTAAGGAATGATATATTACTAATCAGAAGTCACTCTCTACAGGCTGTACCTGTATCTATACATTTGACTCTTTTTTACATTTCTTCCCCAAGAAATGTAAGGGTTTTACGTTGTCTGCTCGCAGCTTCTGAATCTTGTGATTGAGAAATTGGAGCGTCCGCGCTGGCTCAAACTCATTGTGGAAAATGTCAAGTCTAAATTGAGTAAATGACGTGGGAAAAGTGAAATATAGCCGCTGCAGAGGCAGACCAGAGAATGATAAAGATAGAGATATTTCCTTTTGCAAGCTCTTCTGGGTTTATGAGTGACGACGGCCATCTTTCAGAGCGAAGACAGCTGGTCAAAGCCTCTCTGCTGGAGAGCTTTACGTGTGTGTGTGTGTGTGTGTGTGTGTGTGTGTGTGTGTGTGTGTGGGTGTGTGTGTGTGTGTGTGTGTGTGTGTGTGTGTGTGTGTGTGTGTGTGTGTGTGTGTGTGTGTGTGTGAATGCTACCTCCCAACAAAAGAGCAGAGGGTTTGGGGGGTGTGTTAGACAAAGCCTGCCCCCCCCCCCCCCCCTTAACTCTCCCTGCTTAGAGGAGATGAATATTTTCCAAGTCCCATGAGCCTCCATACCAGTACCCCCGTTCATCAGCAGGGTTGGGCCCTCCCCCCTTTCCCCCCCCTAATGTCGGATTCACATCTGAAGTGTCTATACAAAACCGCACCAGATTCTGGTTTGGACCGCTCGGGTACATTTGACCCATTTTAGTTTGTAAAGACAGTTTTGGAATTGCTCAGAGGTTCCCTTCAATTGTTAAACCTTCCAAAGTGATAGCACATCTAGAATGATTAAACCGTCATGAAAAGCTGCAATACCCGGGCAAATTGAGTGTGCTGCCTGTGTGAATTCAAAATGTATTATTCATGTCCAAAACCAACATTGTATGAAGAAGAAACCTTAATACTAAACAATTGTAATTTGTTGTAGTTAATTCAAATCATGTACATAATCTACTCCATACAGAATTTGCATCAGTGACGAGTATTCCTCTCAAAATAGAGAGTTCCCTAACACAAACGTCAGAGGAATGTATTCTTGGTGATGGTGGCAAGGAGCTTTCAACAATCGGACATAAACCTACAAAGTTTGAACACACACTGTTAAATGTGAAACAAAAAAAGGACTAAAACACTTTTGAAAAAGCTACTCATCACCAACTTCTACCTTTAAACAATTGTGTAACTTTGAATCAGCTACATTCAATACACACACAGATATCTATCCCTTACCATCTACTTGTGAACATCGAACCAATGTATAGTTAACTGACTGTAATTTCCTAACTAACGCGACATACCCTTTGTTTCTGCTATGTAGATGGCATGTTTTTTTATCAGAGTAGAGCGTGTGAGGAATAGTAACAGAACATGAGAAAGGATTTGTTATCTTCCCCCCCCCCCCGCCCCTGCAGGCCCATGGACACCAGATCCCAGGATTTGAGCCT